AATAAATGGTCATTTTTTTTTACATTGTAGATTCTAGTTAGAACATGAAGTGGTTACTATGTTCAATATTATAAATTTATAACTCATAATTTATCATATAAATGATCTTATGATCATTCGATCATTTAATTTAATAAATTTATGCATTTTACAATTAAAAAATAAACGAGTAAATTTAAATAACAAACAAGTAGATTCAATACTCAAGAACAAAAAGAATAAAATATAACAATAAACTTGGCGCGCGAGTGCGTGACTATGAAAATATTAGTCAACTAATAAATGTCACGGTAGAATAGACCATAGAGACTTCAAAGTCCACTACGATTATTGTCAATAAAAACATATACACAATAATATTATTCAATAGTACATTCTGTTTCTCGGGATTAAAATGAATATAATAGGTATAACAATAATAAAACCCAATGCTTATCTATAGTAGTTCGCACTGTGGCTATTTATATAAATAACGCCATCTATTGATTTCTCAGAAAATTGTCGAAAGTGTTATCGATTACAAATGGTGTGATTTATTAGTTATAAGTCTCTATGGTTAGATAGTACTTAATTTATTTTATCCATGTTTAAATGGATAAAATGTACAGAGGACTCAGAAGTCCCGTTGGTCGGATAAAGGTTGAGGTATTAATACTATAATTTTATAGGTAGCTGACGATGAAAAGTTGGTAAAGAGAATATCCACTCTCCGACTTGAAAAGTGAAAACATCTCAACATTCAACGATCGAACCCAGCGAAGTAGTAACGGTCAGAACGAAGCGACGATCGACGACAAGGACGCCATTTAGTTGATACTTGATACACGCGGTTTTCACCGTCCTTTGCCACCGGTCACGCAGTGTCCTCGCAATTGCGACAGCGATTGAGAAGTGTTACGAATACTTCTGCAAGCTTAGTTGTAAAACCGCCTTTACCATTATCAACAACGCCAACTGTTTCCGATGTGCCATCATACTATCATAGCCGTTCATGTCCAAGCGTAAGCTTTTACAGCGTGTTGCAGTGATTTCTACGGGACCAGTGATAGTTAAGCCACCTTCGCCGAAAGTTACTGAAATGCTTTCGTGGCCGACTGGCCCTAGACTTTTGAGCCACGTTGCACGTTGCCCCTAAGCTTTTACAGCCAGTTGGCGCCACTACTTTAAGGCCAGTAGTTGAAATGTCTTCACGGATTAATGCCCCGCTGCATTTTCATCGACTGATGCCGTTGCGACTTAACTCTCGTTAACGAGATCAGTTAACGATTCACATTCGTGGATTGTCGCCGCTATATCTCCGTAGCGGCTATTACCACCGCTTTTTCGCAGTAGGTACGTTGCCACTACTCTTCCGTGGTGGGTTATCGAGTTGCCTCCGTGGCTCCGTGGAATATTGCTACATCACAATTTCATTTCATTTCATTGCACGTTAACATTATAGATTGCTGCACAATATTTATATTTTATACTGTTGTAGTTATTATTGAATGACATTGTATTATTTTTTATTAAATAGTCTGTTTCAAACGTTCAATAATTATTAACACAATAAAACAATTATTGTAATTATTATGATATTGTATTTAATAATAATAGTGTCTGTGGTAATAATTTATTTATAACTATTGTTGTGTGTTTTAATTAGTAACATTTATAATAGTTATTATTACCTTATTTCATTAAATTTGTACACATATTAATTATTATTTATTATACTTCATAAATTAAGATTTACACTCTACGTCTTCTGCGTCTTTCATATAATATTATGGACACAGAACATTAGATAATGGTTAGTGATGTACATCAATTGTTATCAATCCCAGTGATAAATAATAATCACCAACTAAGATATCTTAGTTCGTGATAATAATATACATTAACTGATTATCTAATATCTATAATCTATCGACTATCACACTGTGCATACTTACTGTTTAGTATTTAGTTTTTATAGTTTTCTGACTTCTGAATGATGTTTGTTAGGTACCTAACTTTAGAAATATTCTCTATTAAAATTTTGAAGTGAAACTTGAGACTATTAAGTATAAATTATTAGGTATTAATATTTATTATTATTAGCATGTACCATGCACTACCTATGTAATTAGTTACTTAGTACCTAGATATGTAAATTTAAACTGTTAGATATACAGACTTAAAAATTTTATAGCCTGTAGGTTACTTATTATAAATGCTTACCTATTTTATTAGGTACCCTATTGAAGTCTGACATTTATTAAACAGTAAGTTATTATAAACCTAATTTGTTGTTATTACTTTTATCTTTAATTGATATGAATTTTTGTAAATTTAGTTATTGTATATTAGATTATATTTTAATATTGAATTGGTAGATAACCAATAAATAATAATTAAATTTTCAATGCCTAAGTATTTCAAAGTTCCATTAAACTATGAACAATGATACCTAACTCAAATTAATAATATTAATGCTCAATTATCTATTTAATATTTATTACTAAATAAATTTTATAAAAGATAATTATAATCTACCTACTTAATAATTATTTCAGTTATTTGTAAATCATTAAAGTTCATTAATTTTCTTGTATCTATAAATGTACAAAGATACTTCCCCCCTTCAATAATATCTGTGATTATATTATGTATATTATGTTACCAGAAAAGATGATAATCAGTTAATAACTAATAAATGATGACAATGCCTGATTTAGCAAGGATTTTTCATGAATAATTAGTAATTGACGTTAATTTCTAAAATAATATTATAATATTATGTAAATTAATAATTAATAATTATTTGTTATTACCTATTATAGCAGGTTAAACTACTATGGCACTTAAAGTTACATGATTTTGTAAAGAAACGATAAGCACATCTATTAGTTATACATTGTGTTTTACTGTTGCATCTCATAAAACCTTGTAATCCAGAAATGCTGTTAAAGGCAACTGATTGATAAAAATAACGTCATACTTATATATGAATGTACCTATAATCCTATAATCTTTTGTACACTTCTTTTTTCCGGCCGTGTATAGCCTTATTTTAGAATGCTTTATTTCTTCAATTTGTTCATAATATTTGTTATGATTGGAAAAAATGTTATTGTCATTACGTTTTTTTTTCAATTAATTATGAAATTGTGTTGTCAAATTTTAATTGCATTTCATTTTAATCATTAAAATCCATTTTTGAAAATATTAAATAAACACTGCACAAACAGCACTGTCTCTAGTCTCTACCACTATTTTCATAGACTGTTACGATATGATACAATACACAGTGTTCGTTATACAATAATCTATTATTATGAACAATAAAAATAAATATTGAGAAATCAATAACACAAAACTGAGTTGAGATTATCTATAGACTGTTCAATCAGCAGTGTCAATTTACAACATTGTCTAAAATAATATGGAAATGTAGTTACAACTACTAAATACAATTTTTTTATATTTACTTCTATAAAATACTATTACCATTAACTTTATAATAATATAATATACTAAAAAATAAATAATGTATTTAATAGATGATATTACCACAGGAACAAAATAAAATTTATTTCATGAATTCTGCAATAGGTATAGGTTACTAATATAAAATTTATATTCAAATAGTGTTTAATTTAAATTGTATTTTTTTTTTAACAGTTACCCTTCGATTTGATCTGTGGTTGTGAGTAATTCAAATAAAAAAAAAATTCATACCTACAGTTCACTTCTATCATGTATGAAGTTCACATCCTTTTTGTAGGCTATTGCCGGCCGACAGAAGGTGGTATGTTAGCCAATTGTACGTGCACATTAATTAAAGGTCCTAAAAACATAATTGTTGATACTATGACTCCATGGGATGGTAAGAATTTAATAAATGCTATTGAAAAACATGGTATTGGATGTGATGACATTGATTATGTAGTTAGTACTCATGGTCATTCTGATCATGTAGGTAACAATAACTTATTTTTAAATGCTAAACATCTGGTAGGCCGATGTGTTAGTTACAAACAGATGTACTATGATGACAGTAAATTTTTCAACAGTGATGGTGTATATGAAATTGATGAGAGTCTTAGAATTATCTCAACCCCTGGACATACACTGACTGATGTATCTGTTATCGTTCAAACCGCCAAAGAATTAATTGCAGTTGTAGGTGACTTGTTTGAAAATGAAGATGATGTAATGGATGAATCTATTTGGTTAAATGCTGGTAGTGAAAATCCAGATTCACAGAAAAAATTTAGAAAAGCTATAATGGAACAAGTGGATTGGATTATACCAGGTCATGGTGCCATGTTTTCTACTAAGAAATACAAGTGAATAATTATTATTAAATGTTTAAAATTTTATCAATAATCTTAACTGTTTAATTTATATTAACACCTCTCAGTCCTATTATATTATAATTATTTTATCTGTACAAAATATACTGTAAACAATTGTAAGGAATTATTGACAAATATGATGATATTACAATTATTAGTACTTATTTTTATATGCCTTACAATATTTTTTTTTACAAACAATATTTATGTACCTATGTTGACACTAACTATAGTAGTTATTCATATTTTGTAGAAATATCAACTAATTATGAAAGTATAACTTGTTAATTAAAATTTGTTATGTTGTAATTATTTTATAAGTAATAACAGCAAATCATATTCTAATATGGGTTTATGTTTACACTGTATTACATTTAAAATATATTTATAAAACACTGTACAGTGTACCTATTTTTTATACATGATAAATAATATGATTAAATGTATAGGTTTTTTTATTTTAAAGCATAAATCAATAATTATTAAAATATATTTAAACATTTTAATATTTTTTCTTTGATTCTCCTTTCAAAAGTATGGTAGACTTTTTTAAACACTGTGGACAACACTTAGGATAATTTTTATCAGAATTGAATGGGTGGCATTTTTGATTAGGCAATTTACATGAAGTACATGGCTCACATCTACAAAAAAAGAAAAAGTATTAAAATTTGTGTTAATTCTTCAGAATTTTATATTTTTTGTATGACTTACTTCATAGTTTTTAGGATTGGGATCTTTGAGTTATTTTGCCTAGAGCAAGTTCGTTTTTCACATTTTCCCTCTGGATACCAAATGGAGTCTACTTTGTAAGCTGATTTAGTTTCTTCATCATAACATTTTGTAACTGTAATATTTGTTTAAAAATAATACATCATTGTTATTTATATGCCAACACAATTAAACTTTTTTAAACTGATTTTAATTTACCAAGATAATTATAATTACATGATTTAAATCGCTTAAACTTTACAATTACTCGCCTATAACAATTAACTACACCCTTAACTCTCACTCATCCGTGATTAAATATCTAGGCTTTATACTGGGTAAACATCTAGCCTGGTTTTGTCCTGTTAAAGTCACTTTTATATTAAAACTCAACATAATCTATTATAGTTATTTCATGTAAGATTACAACTTTTATAGATAAATGTACATAAAAATTTTATAAATTTGTGACTAGGTACCTACAAAATAATTTACTCATTTTTGTAATTTTGACAAATTCATAAAAATCTAAACTTAAACATTTATAATAAAAATGGCGACTATATTTTTGACATTTTTAATTGTTGTATAATAATAATTTATGAGGAACTTGTATTAAACGTCCAAACATTTTTACTTATGAACAAAAATTTTATAACAGATATCTATATAAATCTAAAAAAAAAAGTGGAAAATCTCTATGATTATTTATTAATATCAATTAAGGACAAAAAACAAAATAAATTTTGAATAAATATTCTCAATTTTACTTAATTTTTAATTTAATCCTGATTATTTTATAAGGTATTTTGAATTTTTTACTACCCCTCACTTTAGATCCAATTTTCTATCGGAAACTATTTTCAACGTTGAATTCTACAGTATTTTTGCTGCTACAAAACATTATGTTAGAAAACAAAACAAAAAACATCACTGTAAACAAAAAGATTCATCATTTCATAATCTAAAACATTTAATAAACCAATAAACGGTTATTATTTATTGGTATATGATAAATAGGGCTCGGAAGTTGATGCATTTTGCATTTTTTTTTGGAATTTTTTAGACGATGCTCTCCTGGCCACAAATCTGTTTCATAAACATGTGAATCTAAATAACTAATTTTTATTTTGCATTTTTTTGGTGTTTATTACTTTTTAAGTCATTTTTTGAGATTTTTAGGTCATTTCCCCACATTTTTAGTTATTTTTACTGATTTCACACTAGTTCATTTCTTATCGTTTCTTGTTAACCATTATGCCGATAACTTAAACCACAGACATTTATAAAACAAATATTTTTAATTTTTTAATTTTCCTATTTTAAGGACATTTTTGTCATTTTTATGTCATATTTTGAATTTTATAGTAAAATAGAGTAAAATTAATATTAAACTAATATTTGTAATTTTTTAGGACGTTTATTGCCTTTTTTATTGCTTTTAAGGTCATCAACTTCCGAGCCCTAATGATAAATGATAATTACATAACAACTGCAAAAAATCTATTGAGAATAAGATAAGATTACATCCTGTCATTTTGTTTAAGTTTTCAAGAGCTAAAATGATATTAAACATATAATTATAAAGATAACCTACTATTTCCAAAAAATATTAACATTTTTGACTTTTGAAAAAAAATTTTTTATAACCTAATTATTTAAAAAAAATTACTTTAAAGCAAATTTATATCTATGGTTATTTTGATTGTTATTTGGTAAACATTAATAAAATGTATCATTTTAAAATTCTGAATAAAACAATAAATGTATTGATTTTACAATATGTTTTTTTTTATTTGTATAAAATATAAATACACGATAAGTTGTCAATAAAATTTGAGGGTAATTTTGAATAGAAAATTGGATTTAGTTTGTACATCAAAGAGATCAAAATTTATAATTTTCAAGAATTTTTTCCTTATGATTAGGAAAACCAAATAAAACAAAAATTAAGGAAAAAAAAAGTTTTCACACTAAACCCAGATTTTGATTAAATGAATTTTTTTATTTTGCTATAATTTAAAGACGAATAACCATAGAGAAACTTAAAATGTTCACTAAGTATTTACATTATCAATTTGGTATAATTTTTAAATATTTTGACTCTTCTAAGTTATTTATAAACAACAAAAATTCTCTATTTTTTTTTTTAAAATGCTAAAAAAAATTGTAAATAGGTAAAAATATCAACAATTTATAGTTATAATATTTTTTTGTAAGTATTTAAATTAAGAATTTGTTTAAAATTCATAAAAATACAAATTATTTTATTGTTAAAAATACATAAAATGTTTTTTTTTATACTCGCAATTTAAAAATTGAATACAACGTTCTCTATAAGTTAATGTTATATTAAACAATTCAACGAAAAGCCAAATTAATTTTTATGAGCATTTAAATTTTTGTTGTAATTTAAAAATGAATAATCGTAGATACTTAAAATTTTTTTCAAACTGTTTATATTGTCATTTTAATTATGAAATGACATTTTCAAAAAAATTTGACTTATTTTGTGCTATTTATAAGCATAATGTCAAATTTTCAATTGTTTTTATAAATGTTTACAAAAATTATTCACAGAGTTGAAATTCTTGAAAATTTAATACAATATTCCACATAAGTTTTTCTTATATCTAGAAAAAAATATTTAAGTTTAAAGGCATAATATTTTTTTTTTTAACGTATTTTAAATTAGAATTTTGACAAAATTTATAAAACATAAAAAACTGTAAACTGTTTTGTAGTTTAAAATCCATATGTACTTTTCTTTTTATATCTAAGATTTGAAAATTTAGTTTAACATTCATAAAAGACAATTATTTTGTTTTAATTTAAAAACATTATTCGTGGAACTTAAAACTATTTCGTTCATTATTTTATTATGAATTTTGTTACACGTAATGACATTTATGATTTATTTTAAGATAAATTAAATTTTTATAAGTAATATAGTTTAATTTAATTATTGTTTTATTATGTAAACAGATTGTAAATATCTTTTGTAATAAATAAAAAAAAAAATTAATACAGTTAAAATAAACATTATGATAATAATTAAATACTATATTCTCTAAGTAAAAATTATGTATAAAAAAAAAAACAGATCACAAACTATACTCAGTGATATAAATTGACAGACTGTTTCTGCTATGAATCGTTTTTCGTATACAGTGATACATCACTGAATTCAAATTTAACACACAGACATTTAATACACAAGCATACTGCAGCAGAGTGGTATCCACTTGCTTAGCTATTTTCTCGTTGATTTTGTCTTACAATGATTTAAATAAATCAAAAAAACAAAAGTTTACAAAAACTTAAAACATTTTAAGAAGATGAGTTGGTTTATCTTTAAAAGTACCACTTATGTAAAACAATGATATATAAATAGCGTTAGTCGAATACTTGCCAAAAAATAGACCTTATTTTATGCACAAGTACCTCCTATAAATAATAATTAATAAGGCCTTTAATGACAACGTAATATAATAACAGACAACCAAAATAATAATTCGTATGGATTCCTAATAAGATTATTCACTAGTATTAAATAAAATAATTAATTCATCGATTTATACATATGCCGTATTTTTGCTTAGATTATTTGCAAACATCAATAGGTCATAGAGAACACATAAATAAATACTTGGACTGATTTATTAATCAGTAATCATTAATATTATTATAATTAATTCTACCTGTTGAGATTATTAATAAACTATTAAATTAAATTTTTAATTTAAATATGATAGCATTATCATATACATATACACATATTATACATTATTCGAGAAAAGAAAAACTCTAAATCTTAACTAAAATGTTTGACTTGATAGTTATGTGTTTTGTCGTTATGGTATACCTATAAATAAAATAATGAATTAGTTTAATTAGTAATTATATAATCATGTGATGCCTAATGTCAAACGCAAGTATTATAAACAAATGGTATAATAATTATAATACCTCACACATAGGTATTATGATTAAATAATGAAAAATTAAATTTTCCATTTACACTTACTCAGTTTGGATTCTTTGACTTCTTCGTTTCCAAATGCCTTGGCTGGCAGTACGTTCTCCTTATCGCGGTGGATGTCATTTGGAGCCGCTGTGGATAGAGCCCACAACACGGCCACAGACAAGATGATTGTGTACAACGATACCTTCGACATGATCGATTCGTGTGACGTGTGGACGACAAAATAAAACAAAACAGATATTGTTACAAGAAGTATAATATGCGGTTTATGACAAACAATAGAGCGCAATTCGTGAATGCGAAGGACGTAACTAATACGCGTAATTTTAAAATACGGAGACCGAGACCCACGATAACCTCGGCGACTAACCTTTTGGTCTTTGGTTATTGATTGTAAAATACAATTTATTTTACCTACACAGTGTACTGCACGTAGGTATATATTATAGATATAAAATAATATGTATTGACTATACTAAGCATGCGTATAAGTACCTCTACGACTCTACCTATACCCACCTACTGTTCATTTAAATAAAAACATATATTTTGTATAAAGTATAGGAAATGTTTGTATCTCGTTGTCTAAAAAAATAATCGTCGATTGCGTTTAGGGGTACATATAAATTGGCTACAATTCATTTGTAAACATTTACCTTTTTTTACATCTCGTTTGCACACAAAAACACAACTCATTTGCGCACAATTTGCAAACAATAGAAATCTTTTTTCAAAGAAATCTACCCACGTAAAAGGTGTACACGATCTGCGTAGATACCTCCAATTTTTCGAATTGGTCATTAGCAGCCAGCAGGGCTGTGCATTTGATGCGCAAAGAAGTGTTAAATGTACCTATGCATGAATTTTGCAATAAAAAATTTTAAAAACACGCAAATCCATTAAATTCACAGCACTGGTCATTAGTGATGGTAAAATATTATTATACTCTACAACATTTTCCTTCACCCTTTATAAAGCTTAAAACTTACTGTGTAATTATATTCTGGTATCATAGACCGGTGGGTTTAAAAATGCTGTTTGTGTTAATTTATTTATATTTATATTTCATTTCTACGGGTATTTTCTTTTTTTAATTTTTTTTTTTATTTATTGAATTAATTTTTAAATCAGCATCGACTTGAATTTTCATTAATATTTGAAGTTTTAGATTATAAACAAAGCAATAAAGATTAAAGTTTGATCCACACAACTCATGTACTTGGCGAGCACAGTAATCGCAATTACTATAACGTATTATTACTGCTATGTGACAACTGATGAGAAACCACGATTGAAAATAAACGTTATACTTTAAGATACTCTGTACACCTAAAACTGTACCTGCAAATAAGTTTCCATTGTTCACAATTTTGTGCATAAACGAGTTGTTGCAAATTTATAAAATCTACATACCAATGTATGTGCACAAACGAGTCTCGACTATATAAATGATGTATTAAATAAATACCTACTCTACTTATCTATCCACCTAGCCTACCAATTATTTTGGAAGCTATAAAAAACACAAGCCTAAAACCTATGTAACGATTAAATCTATGTATTTGTTTTTGAGTGGACGAGTTTGTTGATATGCGAATGCGATTGTTCAAAGAATAAGATTTATGATCTTTACTACGGGGGACCCCATCGTTCTTAAGCGGCGTGTTATGGACCGAGACGAAAACAAATTGTTGTTTTTTTCATAAGGCAGACGGCGCCTGGTTGGAATAATTAAATTCGCACAAGGCTGCTAATGCTATTTATTTATTTTTTTTTTGTTCCTGGTCATTAAAATCTATGACAGTGGTAAGTTAACTTCTTTCGATTCATTTAATTTTAATTTTAATTCTTTTCGTCATCTTATATAAGATTTTGGGTTATTTATTTGCGGTAGCCGCACATGTGGACATTTGTGTTACGCGAATGATTAATTCGCCAGATATTCATATGCGTCATTATATAATTTCTTAAAATATTTCCATAACCTATATAGTATATATTTACTTATTTTTAATTTAAAGACGTTACGATGATTTAATTTTTAATGCATAATATTATGATGTTATAACCTTATCTTATATTTTACTTTACTAACTACCTATAATTATATAATTATATAATGAGTGAAGCAAAATAAAGGTAAGTACCTACCTATATCCGCAATAAATGCATTGAACAATTCGTTTATTGATACTGTATTGAATCGTCATTCTTTAGCTTTAAAAAAAATGTTGTAATATTAAGTTTGGAAATTAGTAAATGGCCTTTGATCTTAATCGATTTAACTGCACCAGACTGTCAAAAAAAAAAAATATATATATAGGTTAACGGTAAAAGAACGTGCATATGATGCGAGAAATATTAAATATATCTACAGGATGATTTAAAATAAAATTTCTTAAAAAAAAAAATTGAATAAAAAATAATTGTCCTACTTAGTCCAATACTTAAAATATTTGTATTTCTTAAATGTGTATATTATGAATTTCAGTAGAATAGGATAATATTATTTATAAAATATATTCGAAATAAATTTAATCTGATACTTGTTTGCCATAATAGTGATTATTATTAAATAAATGTATAGTGATTGTTTTGTAAAACATAAACTTTAATTTATTTAGGACCATATAAAATAAAATAAATAATTAAAATTCAATATAATACAATATGTATATAAAGTATGCTAATGTTAAAAAAAAATGGCATTCTGTAACATTTGAACCTCTATAAAACGATTCATGAAATAAACTTATTCCCTGTATGGCTGTTAAATTATACCTAAGTAAAATACATTTAAATTTATATAATAGAATTATACAAATTAATTTAAATGCCTTATTGGATAAAAATAAAATACAATAATATATACCACCTATTTTTGGAATAATAAAAAATTAATCCTCAAATTTAATGTTTATTTTTTTTAGTAGGCGACATTCGAAACACTGTGTATACATGTTTAATACACTCCCTTCTGCTAAAACTCGCAGATGTTTTAATAATTTTGTAAGAACTAATTTAACACAAAATAAATCCACACTTCAGACATTCGGGCATATATCGTTCGATGTTCAAAATAGTCGTTGATGAATCTACACGTGATGTTGATAAAATTATTTTTTAGTTATTTAAATTAATTTTGCCATTATGTTTACTTCGTGTTTTTTGTGTGTGTTCATAACTTATTTAGCTGTATCCCAGGGTTTTTATCACTCTAATAATGATTTGAAATCAGAGGTAAAATGTAGACAAATTTTATTTTAATAGTATTTTAAATATAGATAAAAATATGTAATTTTCTTGTATCTATATACCTAATACATATAATAAGGTAAAAAGTATATATTTATCTGATAATATTAATTTATATTTTTACTTAATTATTTTAAATAAAAAAATGATAGACATAATATTTAATTTAATAAGTAAATATATACTAAACACATATTAAATTAATTTTACATTTGTCATTTAAACTTACGGAAGAAATACTTATCAAAATATAATTTATAGCGATAGGTATATCAAGTGTATTTCTTTAAATGTGAACAAATATCCTAATATATTAGATAGGTACTATATTATAATATTTATTTTTTATGAGTTTACATAGTAATTTCAACAATACAAAAGTATACTAGTATACTATAATTCATAGGTATGTCTGGATTTTTCGTATTTGTTATTTATTCTTTATCAAATTGTCTATTATATAGGTAAATAAGAACATTTTAATTATTTTTCGAATTATAATTTTGTAAAACATAAATTTAAATACAAATGAGTAGTTATTATTTCAATGTAAAACTTAATCTAATAAAGTATACATTTAAATATTTAATGGACATTTAAATTAAAATAATAAACTATGAATAAATATCTAGCATTAATAGTTAATTTTTAACTATAATTATTATTAAATATTTATATATACATAATAAAATTATACGAAGAAGAAACATTCAAGTTTATTAAGTCAACCTAGATTAAATAGTACTACTTAACCTTACCTACTTAACCTAATGGATAACCATATAAATTATTATGAATAAATAATTAAGATTATTAATAAAATGTAATATCTTATTTATTTTTAATATTTTTTTTTCGTAAAAAATTATGTGGCAATATTTTTTCAGAATGGTTCAGTGTTAACAAAAATTACAAATGATATTGGCTCATTAACGATCTACAATACAAAAATTTTCGACAAAGAAAAAGTAAGTAAAAACACGTTAATAAATACCATTCAAATATTTTTCATTATAAAGTTGTGATTTTGTGTTATCACGTGTATTCACTAAGAAAACAGATACGTTAAGGACTTATAGTAGCATAATTCCTGTTTTTAATAGAGGGGTACAAAAGCTCTGACCAGTCCAAAAAGATATTTAAAAAAAATATTTGCTTCGCTTACAAATAAGAGGCTATCTTATAATTTAATTAAATTTATTATTTCTACTTTATATATTTTATGATTTGATATTTTTTTGTTAAAATTTTACTATAAAACCACTTTTATTAATATATAATAATATAATTTATAAATATAAAGTAACTAATATTTTATAAAAACAATATTGCACATGCAATAAAATGTTAATTTTTTTCCATACAACACACATAGATACGTACTAATTTACATACACGTCCCCATCTGTTAATACATTAATACGAATATAGGTATTCTATTATTATAAATATTAATGCTCCATTTGTCAAGGCGACAATAATTTCCCTTTTCCAGTAAACAATATAATATGTACTAGTCTATCAGCCTACTTTTAAAATCAATTAGCGACAAATTCTCACCTTACCACATTATCTATAAAATGACACCTCTGAAGGGGCTTTGCCTACACACTTTTCATTTTTAATACTATTTCTGTTGCATTTTATAGCTTGTAGTATGTATAGTTCTGTATTAAATCTTCCCCGCGTAAAACCATTAATTCACGTCTATACATAGATATAAAAATTATATTTTAAATTTTTGAAAAAACAAATTTGTTAGTTTGTAATCAAGTTTTATTTTTAAATTATAGATAAATTAGTTAGTATTATAATATTTCAAAAAAAGCAATTGTTATGATTTCAGAAAATATTTGCGTATAAAAATGAAGTGACCAAAGAATGTATTTTAAAACTAGTTGATGATCAAGAAAACATTTTAAATTTTAATGATAAATATGACCAAAATATAGAATTAACTGAAGATGAGGTAAAATAGATATTTTTATTAAACAATAAAACAAATATTAAGGGTTGGACTCTATTTAACGTAATATTTTATTATTTTTGTTTTAATATAGATGGTTGAAATAATTGGCGAAAATTTAATAAAGTTTTGCAAAGATAAAACCATTATTTTGAATAACTTTGGCATTAAACGTATTAGTAGATCAAAACGTGCAATAGATAAGAAACGATATCAAGGTCAAACTCAAACTCAATTTGTTAGTTTTGGTTCAAAAAATTCAAACCAAGAAACGAAAAATGGATTAGCCGAAGCTTTGTCACAGCCTGATTTATCAAGGGCAACAGTGAGTAAGTGTCTAATATATTTTCTATTTAAAATTTAGAACCCTTATGCCAAAATATAAAACATAGACGATAAAAGCAATTAATTCATTTAAACTATTTTTAAATCAATTTTAAAACTACAAACATTCATTTTATAAATTAATTTCATACCGTTGTAAATACTAGATTGGTAATAATTAGAAATAATACCTTTGATTAACTATTATAGTGTGTAAGGTACGTATTTGGTATTATAGCGTATAGGTACTACTTAAACAGTAAATACTGATTAATTCTCACAAAAAATTCAATATAATTCTTGGTAGGCATTTAATTACTGACTAACAACTTCTTAGGTATCTAATTTGTTACCAATTACTAATATACCTATAGTATATACCAGCAGTGACAGATATGAATAGGTTCGCAGGCCACATGAATAAATACTATTATACTAAGAGTCTAAATGTTTATAGATGCATTTCATATAATTTAATAATTTTTTATAAATGTATAACTAAAAATTAAAATTTATAATAACAATAATCATAAGAAAATTTTGATTTTATAAATAAGACACGACCCGCATTTGACAATGACAAGAGTCACATGTGGCTGCCAAGTCGCAAGTTGGCCACCCCAGGTATACCACTAATGCAACATAGTAACTAGGTATTATACTTCTCGAAGCATAAAATATCAACAATAACCAATATCTAATGTATACATTCGTAAATACATGATAATTATACACGTAAATATAATTATTAAATAAACAATTTCATTAGTACGACACATAATTCCTTTATATTAAAAATTTTAATTTAAATCTAATTTTATTTAACTTAGTACATTATGCAAAAGTCGTAGCTACTAAAAATAATCTTGATTAAAAGAGTTGAAAAATTAAATTCTAAAAAAAATATACAAAAACTATAAAAAAATTATAAAAAAAAACTATAAAATATAAAATACATTTTAAATTAAAAATATTATATTCAATTAAACATTTATGAGAAAATCTTAATTTAAAATATTATAGATAATCCAAAATCCAAAAAGTTTGAATATAAATCAAAATAGTGTATTAAATTAATGTAATTTTAAGTACCTACCTATTTACTCGAAGTAAGTAGTAGGTAAATTACTTTAATAATAGCATTTTTTTTTTTTTACGATTAGTGAAATTGATACAACATACACGTAAATTTTACAGTTATTGAGAAATATCTATCATGGATAATAAAATTTTTAATTTTAGATTAAAGATTCTTAACGTAAAGTGTCTAGTGGCTGATTGATAAATTACATACGGGTTGGTGGCGGAACAATTATAGACAAGTACCAAAATTTATTAATATCTATAATACTTCAGTAAAAATTTTTTACATTGCTGAACTCTTGATGACAATTTCCAAAAGATTGAATTGTATTCTCAAAATTTCTTTTATGTCGAATACTAAATTATTAAACTAGTGTTTTAAAATATGGAGCTAGAATACGTGTAAATTGTAAAATGCAGCTAGGCAAAGATTACTAGTATGAGTAATAATCGTTTTTACTCGTTTAAAATCTCCATTCATAACCTAACCTAATCTAGCAACAATACAATCATATTATATCTTTGATTAATTAAATATTAATAATGTTAATGATAACAAAACACTAAGTTTAAATTAACGATAACAATTTTCGTATCAACCATCTTGTAGTGGCTACTATACTTGCGTAGCCACGCGTACCTATGTAATAAATTGGGAAATACCTATACTTCTTTCTAAGCAATTTTAACTTTATAATTAAGAAAAAACACTATTTAATTTTCAAGAAATGTTGCGGTGAAAGTTAAACCCACAAACAATATAGGATAATATACCGTTAAACTTCGATAGTAAATACATATAAGATAGGAAAAAACTATTAAAACATAAATAAACATATAAAATATTTACATAATTGTTCATGAATAAAAAACTATTTTTAGGTGGTTTAAATGGAATGGGACAAGCTCAGAGTCAGTCAAGTTTTGGTGAATGTGATGAATGTTATGAAAAAGATTATCAAACACATTCAACACATGACGTCAATTCTCAATCAGGATATTTTCCATCACTTCGACCTTCAAGTTCTATTTCTCAAAATCAAAATTCAAGACCGTATAGCGAATCAAATTCAAATAAGCAATCACCAAGCTTACAAAATGAAAAAAATCAAAGAGGGCATTCTATCAATGATCAATATCCAGATACGTATTCAGGTTCAGGAATAAATAATAAATTACCAGATAGTAAATTTCATGATATCGGGCAATCTCTTAATAGTCAATATCCAGGATCAATAACTAACTATAAAGTACCAGATAAACAGAACCAAGGTTATGTCATTAATGATCAGTATCCAAGATCTGAAATAAATAATCAAGATTACGGATATGGTACTACTCCGTCTGTCAATAATCGATATACAGATTCAGGGACAAACATTCAATTACCAGAAAATCAAGATCATAGATATGGCATTGAATCGTCTCTCCGTGGTCAATATCCGGGTAAAATTCAAGATTCAAAATCAAATATTAATACAGAATTGAGTAAAATAGACTCGGGACATGTATATAATTCTGTAAATGAACAAATTCCAAATTTAGCTAATACTAATACACCAGAATACAAAGAAACTGTAAATAATAATTTAGTTCACTCAAACCCACATTCCATTAATTCTATTCCATTAAATCCCAATAGTTGGGACTATCCTAATAAAATATATCCAGATGGGTCTAGGTTTCCTAATATTCCTTCAGAATTGGGTCAAGGAATACTAACTCCACATAACACACCTAATTATGATTCGACACATCCTAGTTACAATTGGCAAGTTCCAGTAACAACTTCAAGAGAACATCAAATTAAACCATCAAATTACCCATCTAGTCTTATACCTAACTATCAACATTCAATGCCAGACATCTTAGATCAATTAGCACTAAGTAAGCCTATTTCAAGTGATACAAATTCACAAATTAAGCAAAGGATTTTAAATGAAGCTGGTGGAAATATACAAAATGGATATCCATTATCTTCAAATATACCTGGAGATCAAGATTATACCCAACTAAATTTACCTTCCTTATGTAATTTTTTATATCAGACATGTCTTAATGCATTGTTAAATAATAAAAGACTAAATGAATTTCAAATAGCTAGTTCGCAAAATAACATAAGAAATCAAAACACAGGAAAACAAATTGGTAGTACACAAGTACCTATCATGCAACATCCGGGTCTCCCTTTATATGGAGAAGGAATTAATCAAAATCAAAAACGACCTAATTCTGGCCAACTTCATTATACAACTGGGTCGGATGGATCTGGTATTCAACATCCTAGTTATACTCAAACTAGTGAAAATATAAATAGACTTCAATCTAGTTATGACTTACCTCAAGGTACATTAGGATCTAGAGGATCTGGTTTTCAGCAACCTGGATACGCTCCATCGGGTGGAAATGTTAACCAAATGCAATCTAATTATGGTCAGCCTCAAGATACATTAGGATCTGGAGTATCTGATTTTCAGCAAACTGGATACGCTCCAATGGGTGGAAATGTTAACCAAATGCAACCTAATTATGATATGCATCAAGGTACATTAGGATCTGGAGGATTTGGTTTTCAGCGACCTGGATACGCTTCATCAAGTGGAAATGTTAACCAAATGCAACCTAATTATGGTAAACCTCAAGGTACATTAGGATCTGAAGGATCTAGTTTTCAGCAACCTGGATATTCTCCATCAGGTGGAAATGCTAACCAAATGCAACCCAATTATGGTAAACCTCAAGGTACATTAGGATCTGAAGGATCTGGTTTTCAGCAACCTGGATACGCTTCATCAAGTGGAAATGTTAACCAAATGCAACCTAATTATGGTAAACCTCAAGGTACATTAGGATCTGAAGGATCTGGTTT